CCTAGTTATGTTAGAACCTTATGGAAGGAGAAAAAATTTAGTCAATAGCGCTAAATGGAGGTTGTTGTATGCTGTATCACCTTTCGTTTCCCCCTTATTTTTAAATAATTGAGTTTTTAATGTGCCATGTGCCCGTTCAATGAGGGCTTGGACTTGTGGATTGTAAGGAATAGCTGTAGTGTGATGAATATTCAAATCGTGACAAAAATTGTGAAATATTTTGCTAGTGTAGACAGGGCCATTGTCTTTAAGTGTGTAGGAGTGCCCATAATGGCAAAACAGGCTAGCAAGTGGCTGATGACATATTTTGTGGACTCACCAGTCATGGCAGATGCCCATATAAACAACAAAATTTAGTAAGACATTTACATAGATAATTTATATTACCTTTAATAATTTCTTTTTCCTTTCTATTAGGAATATCAGAAATATGTGAGATATAGAAAATATTATAAAACAACTATTATAAATGTAGTGTTAAAACAATAACTATCTACTGTTACAGTAATACTTGCAATAAGGTATTTGGGTGTTTGACTTGTAGTTAAAAACAGGTAAGCACTAGCCATGACCTGTATAATTGATTTTTCTGTTGCTTTTGCAGAAACACAACAAAATCTTCATTTTGAAAAAGATGCTACCTTGCTAGCTTCAACGAAAAAAGTGAAGACTTTGGGATTAAAGGTGAGGATTTTTTATATGCTACATGATTTATCAATGTATCATTGAACATATTTATGAAAGGTGTTCACGAGGATAGGGTATTTTTAAGTCAATCCATAAAGTAATGAAACATTATCATGAGAGCTCTATCATATTTAACATTTCTGTCCATGCTTTTACTAAATGCATTACATTTAAATGTGTGCAGAATTAATTCAAACTAATCCAAAATGGGGGGGATTATGAAGAAGAACACAGCATTAGGATGGGAGAAAGACTCAATAACATTATGCAATGCTATGACCTGCTTGCCAAAAGGATTTGAAGCACAGTCATGTTGATCAAAGATATAACTTGCAGTGTGGATTCCACCACAGCACAAAGAACACATGTCATTACAACTAAACCAGTAAACACATAGTACTAGCAATAGAGAAGACGTGCCTGTTGGCAACGATTACATTTTACTTGGATCCGCAATCAGTACCTTAGAAGCAACAATCAAGAAATCAATGTATTGGGCAAATCTGTTGAATAATATCTCTTTAAAGTTGAAAAGCCAAGATGTCACTTGGAAGACTGGTTCGACTGACCAGTTCCTGGAGAAATGCATCATGTTTGGCAAAGTTGAGCGTCAACAACAAAAAAAGGAAGGCCTTCAATAAAATGGATGTTCACAATGGTTGTAACAATGGACTCACGTTGTGAGGATGGGGTTGAACCCGGTAACAGTGTTGTCTTCTGTTTAAAATTGGGTAACTGAACATGGAACTGACTTCGTAGCCTTTAACAACAACAGAATTGATTCAGTGGCAATTACGAATAATAACAAATTTAAGTATTACAAAATGGCCTTCATTCTTTACTCACTTCTCTATCTGGATGAATTTCACATTATTTAATAGGCCTTTTTAAATGATGTCATATTTTTATTTGGTAGTTAGCAACATTAAAATTGGTGTTTGTCTGTTTAAATCATTTTATGGGGGCTCATACAACTCTTATCACAATCCATAGATAGATCCATTGTCTCAAGTACACTTGTACATATGTTGCCATCATCATTTTCAAAGCATTTTCTCTCCACTTGAGCCCTTGGTATCAGCTCCTTATTTTTTCCCCTCCT